GCAGGGAATGTGTTTACTTTTTTAGTTTTGATTTTGAGCAGCAAATTTGGAGTTACATATTGGTGCTCACCAGGAATGCAGAGGCAAAATTGCACAAATTTTCACTTGAAAGAATAGTGGCGATCTTGGGATTTTTTTCTGTTCAATTTTCAAACTGTGTAAATTTAATACACTTCATCTTCAGCATGTTTAGTGCCACTTTTGTAAGTAACCACGCCCCCGTCCAGGCCACGCCCTGTCCAGGCCACGCCCCTTCCGCTTTTTTCATCACTCGCCATTGCCATGTATGTTATCTTCTATGACAGTGGTCCCCAACCACGAGGCCCATTTGGTACTGGGCCGCACAGAAACAGACCAAGATTTGTTTTTGTTTGTGTTTGTTTTTTGCTTTTGCTAATCGTCAGTCAACCACCTCTCACACAAACACCACCACCACCATCAACCCCCTTGATTACTTTCCAAAGGGATAAATAGGACTGGGTGATTATATGATCAAGAGTCATGATAGTCCGTAACCAGCTGTGAGCATATTTATGCCATCAGACGTGGCGGAATTGTGTGAGAATTTAGCTAATCGGAGTCCCCATTCTAACATTGGTTTGCAAGTTGAAATATATAGAATCCGCTAATAAATGAAAGAAGAAGCAGTACATAGAAAGAAATAGTAATAATTCAAACAAACGTACCGCTAAACATGCAGCTGATGCGCAGCCATTATTCCCAAAGATGAAGCTTTTTGACAAGAGAAGTACCCCCCACCGCCCCTCGCGGTATCTACAGAGCGACATGACCGAGAAAGCTGTGGTGCATGGTATGTCGTCAAAGTATGGTAAACTGGTCTTGGCCATTATTAACAGCAGTCTTCTACACCTGATTAATATAATCAGGATCGTTCTAATGCTGCTTCAGAGCTGGCTGATGAGCTGATCATCTGCATGGGGTATGTTGCAGCCAGGAGAGCTGGAAAACAGGCAGGCTGGTGGCCTTCCAGGCCCGGAGCTGGACATGCCTGTCTTAAAGGATAAAGGTTCTAAGCCAGGGGTGTCAAACTCATTTTTTGTCGCGGGCCACTTCGGAGTTACGGTTTCCCTGGGATGGCCGGTTCAAAATCTCAAAGTTATTTGTTACCCATGACAATTTAACATTTTGGTTCAGATTTCAGCAAGAATCATGCTAGTTGACACACAGGATTTGATCCCTTGGGTGATGTAAAATGACGTGGGGGCCCAGATCTTGACTTTGATACCTGTGCTCTAAGCTAATGATGGTTAAATGAGAGCAGCTGTTTGCCATTGTGATGTGCTGCAATTTCCATATGATCTAATTCATCAACTAATTGCAACTGCTATTGGTGACTAGTCGATGATTAAAAACCTGGAGAACCCAAGAACCCTTTTCTTCTTTGGAAAATGATGAATTATACATTAAATGACTGCTATATGTTCACTGAACACCAAAATATATATTTTTTCAAATATTCAATGCTTGAATCCTAATTTAGGATTAGGGCCAAATTTGACCCTTTGGGATTTAAGGGTCGCATTTGAGTAGCAGAATTTATAGTGGCCAAATTTGACTTTGTGAGTTCTCCAGGGTTAAAATAATCGTTTGTGTCACCCCAATGTGAGAATTGTTATTGCATAGCCGACATGGAATTGGTTGGTGCATTAAACTACTGTATGTTATTCATGTAACATGCATAAAATTTGCCAAAGAATGCAGAAAATGAAACCTGAATTCGAAATAGGTTTGTGCATGCATGTGCGCATGCATGTGTGCATGTGTGTGTGCGTGTGTGTGTGTGTGTGTGTGTGTGTGTGTGTGTGTGTGTGTGTGTGTGTGTGCGTGTGTGTGTGTGTGTGTATGCAAAGTCTAGTGTGTTTGCACTTGGCTTTTTGTTTTACGTCTTGCCATAATTATATAAGAAAGTGACTTCCCTTTTATTTTCTGACATAGAATGAGCTGGAGCTCCCATTCACTGATGATGATTTCAGAAGAAGAAAAGCTCATCCAAACTTTCAAAAACACCTTGAACTGGAGAAAATGGTTGGCAAAATGGGCAAGATGGTGCGTTTCAAACATCTTCAATGCATTTTTCCCTTTTGTTTTGGAATCACTAGATACAAACACGATAGTGTATCCACAATATGTGGTAGATGATCGTACGACAGCTGTTATATGAAAGCTATTTTTCATCAGCTGCTTTGTGAACAGTTTCATGCTCTGCACACAGAACCAAAAAAATATATATCCACACTTATTCAAATGCCTGGTTTCTGTAGTATGAAAAAAATGAGACTAAGATAAATAATTTCAAAAGGTTTTCCACCGTTAATGTGACCCATAACCGATAAAACTCTATTGAAAAAAAAATATATATATATATATCTTTTCAATTTGTGAAGTAAACGAAAAGTGCAGTGAGCAAATTGGTATATGACTGTGTTCAGAATTTACCAATCACATCATTGTCCGACACAAAGCTGTACTGTCCCTGTGCCATCGTGCCACCAAAATGCTACCAACTAGGCCAGTACAACTTGCATAAATAAATACGACAAAGTCAACATAATGTTTGTTTAAAAAAATAAATAAAGAAAAATCGGTGCATCCACGTTTACATTCACCTATCCTCACTGATTTCTCCTTTTCTGGTCCCATTAAGGAAAGATCGGTACTACTTGCACCACACCACAAGCTAGCATCGGATGGCTAGCTAATGTGGCAAAGCATGGTGCGGAATTGCTCCTAAGTCAATAATCATCACCTCCAAGGCGGCAAATAAAGTACACTTCTGACAAGTTTTATTCTCATGAAGGGGCGACGAGGACTAATAAACATTGAAAAGACTTCCTAATTGCTAATGACACGTGCCGCAATTGTGAAACTGTGTGATAATGTGCTTGGGTTATGTAGCACACTCTGGCTCCCCTTTTTTTTTTTTTTTTTAATCTTTGCTCATGTTTTCATGCAACCTTGGTGAAATCAAATTATTGTTTGTCTCCTCAAAAGTTGTGTTGACTCTGCTTTGAGGTTCATAGTTCTTTGCGTTCAATGGTGACACTAAAGCACCTATCCAACTGAGCAGCAAACAATCGCAAGTGTTTTTGAAAGCAGCGAATGCTGCGTTCATGTCAGAGTTCATCATGGTTCGTTCAGGGTCACAAATGCTCGCCTGACGTTCGTCTGTACTTTTCTTGTCACATGTTTGGCTTGATAAGCAGCATCAGAGTAGCAGTATTGCTAAAATCTTTTCGATATCTATCCCGACTCATTTCCTTCAATTGAACGGGAAGTGGAATTTGGGGATTATGAATACTCCCATACAACAGTGTTAGCACACAACCTTCAAGTTTTTGCTCGAAAGTTAAAAAAAAAAGTTTATTCATTATCTCAGTTGTTAATTTTTGCTTCCCTGTCAAAAACATGTTTTGTTTTAAAATTGAGCTGTATAGGTTGTACTGTAAGTCACATGGTAGAAAAAGTTTAAGTGTTACATCTTGGTCTCATATTTTTATAAAACAAAACTTTGAACAGGGGACTTTTTAGATCCACTTTAGGGCCTTCCCATACTCACACATGCATTATCGTTCAAACCTTTTCTTTAATTTGTATTCCTCACAATTAAGCCCTGTGAATTGTTTTCATGACAACTGCTTAAATATAGCATTAACCTGCTTTTACTGTCTTTAGGACAGAGCATTGTTTTCCACTTATGTTGTGGTGTCGGGACTTCAGTATGGAATGGGAGAGCAGGTCTTCCATCTCTTTTTCAAAGTAAGTGTTAATAACTTATTGGTTATTCTTGCAAAAAAAAAAAAAATAAAAATCAATGGATACCTTAAAAGCATTGCCTGTTTAACATGCACATCACCTACCTTTTAGGCCTCTATCATCCTCTCCCTCCCTCATATCGTGTTGCTCCGTATTCTGCTAATCCATACCGGAATCGAACAAAATCCAGGCCCCGCTACCGGGATTGGCTGTGTGCGCCATCACGTTATTCATATTAACTCTGCAGTCATCAAATGTATTGGATGTCAAATTTGGTGCCATTTTCATCAATGTTCGGGCCTTACCAGGACTAGCCAATGGAGAGTTTGGTGAAAATTATGCAGTTATCCTACATTAAAAACATACGGTGCAACACCTTGCCAACTTTTGCCATCGCAAGTTGATCCCGCCCCCCTTAGCCCTTGCCTCTTTGGACACACAAGCTGTATGACTTGCAGTAGCAAGTTGACGTGATACTCTACTAACGCAATTTAGAAATGAATGGTAGTCAAGGAAACTGGCAAGTTTTGTTTGTTTTTTGAGGGCGCTCGTGCGAATGAGCGAAAGGTGCTGTAACCCTCAAATGGTCGCCATCCAGTTGCATGGCACATTCAAACAACCATTCGCAAACACATTTGCATATTCAGTCTATTTAGAATCTTCACTTAACCGACCCTCCATGTTTTTGCACAATGGGATAAAGCTCATGCAGGTGCGGAGAGAGCATGCAATCTCCAAACAGAAAGGCCGGAGCCTGGATTTTAATCCACAATCTCTAATCTCTGAGGTGATGTGCAAACCACTTCTTCCCCATGCCATTTTCCCAAACATGCCATCTTTTTTTTTTTTTGTTATGTTATTAGTTGATTGTTCATTCTGAACTGCTGATGATGATTATGACATAGTTGTGTTCTGTTATATTGTGGTTTTGTATGATATTTTTTGAATTGCTTTTCAGACCCTATACATATGAAGCAATATTAGGGTTTGTAATGGTTTATTGCTTTTTTTCTAATCAAATTTTATTCTGGATGTATAGATCTCATGGCTGGGACAAGAAAATGAAACACCAGTCTTTGGAGAGGGCAATAACATTGTTCCCACGATTCACGTCAGTGACCTTGCAAGGTTGGACACAACAGCATTATTCTATTCAATGTGTTTTTAAAATTAATTAGACCATTGAATTCCTGGAGTAAAAAAAGTGGAATGATTTGGAATGGTATCGAATGATCTGCAATGATCATGAATGACAGAATGATATACAGCGACATGGAATGAGCAGAACATGTCAAAGGTGGAATAGTGTGTATAGGTAAAAAAAAAAATGTAGAAAGTAGAAGATAAAACAAACAAACAAAAAATTGACTTATATTTAAATTTTAAAACTATGCAGCGGTAGGAATAACCTGAGCAGTCTCTCTCTCTCTCTCTCTCTCTCTCTCTCTCTCTCTCTTCCTCTCTCTCTCTCTCTGTCTTCTGTCTGTCTCTCTCTCTATCTATATATATATATATATATATATACACACGCACACACGCACACACAGACACACATTCTCAGTATGATCATAACCAAGAGTAGCTTTGGTTACCAGTTCAGAGGCACAACAACAGTCAAAAGTGAAAGTGCTATTGTGCTGTTTTCAATCATTTGTCTGATTAAATAACATGTTTGATGCAAGTTAAAGGTTCTTGTTTGGGTCTTCACCATGCTGTAATATAATATCCTCAATGGAAACATACCTGGACTGTTCTTTTGAAGTCGTAAATGTATAAAGTAGAAGCAATCGTCAGGTTTTTAGTCCCTGTCTCTCTTCTGCACTCAAAGAAACGTCAGCCACTGAAGTTCCTCAAGTCTAAACACCTCCTGGTTTGTTTATATTCGATTCATTATCATCGCACTGATTAGCTTATTTACCTTTGTTTTGGTTTCCTTGCCACTGGCCTGCAATGCCAGACACTCTGGTCATATTTTAGTGTGTGATAAAACCATAACGTCAGGTTCTTGGGATTAACTGGAGAAAAAAAAAAAGTTCCTTAAAAGCAATTTATTTGCTCCTCAAATTAAATCCTTGATCAGCAAATTCCTCTTGAAAGAACAGTAAGGTTCTTTTGAGCCTTTAATGTATTCTAAAATTCTAAAAATGAAATACTGCATACTTGGAGCACGTATTTTGCAAGTATCACCGTATTTTGTCCATATTTCAAAGGGGATTCTTTTCATGTATCTGGTTAGGTAAGTGCATGGTCCTATGGTCCCCTAGTAGTACTGATGAAAAGTTGTAGCCTCCTCCAGGAATTAAGTTGCCCATCCCTGATTTAGAAGAAGGCATGTTAATTTTTGCTATTGTATGTATGAATGTCACACCATTACTGTGATGATAAATACTGAAATGTGCACATAAACATGTGTAAACCGTTTTCATGTCCACTTATCCTCACAAAGGTTGCGGGGCGCGCTATCCCAGCTGTCTTCGGGCAGTAGGCTGGGGACAACACCCTGAACTGGTTGTCAGCCAATCGCAGCAAATGTGAATCCGTTGTGTATTTTTACAAGCAGCAACAACACCATGACAAAAGTGCTTTAATATGGTCATGATGGTAACACTTCAACATTCAATGGACTGTGTGAATGATATGAGCCACGTAATTTATTTTATAATTCTTATTATTTCTTGTGTGTAAGTTTGTTTTTGTAGATATAACAAATAACTGTGAAGCCACATTTTTATGTAACGGTACTGCTAAAAAATAATAAAGGGAACACTTAAACACAATGTAACTTCAAATTACATCAAACAACATGGGATCAGTGACAGTATGAATGTGGGTGTGTATGGTTGTTCGTCTCTACATGTGCCCTGCGTCTGACTGGCAACCAGTTCAGGGCGAAGTCTTCCTTTTGCCTGAAGTCACCTGGGATAGCCTCCAGCAACACCCACAACCCTCTTCAGGAGAAGCGGTGGTGACAATAGATGGATGGATATATTAGCAGCCCTGTGACCCTGTTCAGTATAAGTAGTGTTGAAAATTGATGCATGTATGGATATATTAGTAGCATCCTCCTGAAATGTGCCAACATAACAGAGCAGGACCAAACAAATATAAAGCCCTGGAATAACTCACCATAACACAAAATCAAGAGCCGCTCGCTGCATATTATGCAGAAAAATCCAGATTTCAATAGGTCTTCTGCTATTCTGTGCTATTGTGAAATGCGCCCTGCATTTTCTTCTTGGCCATAGGCTCCTGTGTTGCAAAGAAACTTGCCAAATATGTCTGTTTTCTTTTTTTACTCATTTTGCTAGTGTGTGGATTTAATATTAGCAATGCGTAACCGAGATTTGGCATGCATCCAGAGTCGCTCAGACAGATGTAACAGAGAGAATTTGGGCACTTTGCAAAATAAAATATATTTTAGCATTGGAATAAACTGAAATGATCGTAAGTTTTTCATATTTTAAACTTTATAGCCCGCAGCGGCCCGGTCCAAAGTGGCTCAAGGTCTGGTACCAGTCTACTACTCAGTGGTTGGGGACCACTTTTGATCAACTCATTAAATGTATTCAAGAAATGCAGTATTTATAATGAATATGAGACAATTGATATAAAAAGGAGAATGAATAATTCTATGTATATACATGTATATATGTAAGTGGGTGTATATGTATATGTGTGTGTATATATGTGTATATGTATGTATGTATGTATGTGTATATGTATATGTGTATATATATGTATGACTGTGTGTGTGTATGTGTATGTATGCACCTATGCGTGTATGTATGTATGATAAGGGTAAAAGTACTTGATAAGATGTAGATCTCTTCCTTTTCTTTTGCATTGAAAAATGATCTATTTATATTATTACACAACAAGGGGTAGGACTAGATAAGTTGTATACTTCTTCCTACTCCTTTGAGCATATAACGGTGATGATGTTTGTTTTACTTACTTTTTATTTTTTATTTTTCCTTTTGTAACTTTTGCTTGCCTTTTGTCAAATTGTTATTGTATGTTCAATAAACTTCAACTTCAATAAACTTCAACTTCACTGTCTTAGAGGGCATCCTTCCCTTGGCCACCTGTTGAACTATAGGGAGAACTAATGGATAGAGCATGTGTTAGGGATGTTGTGATTTTTCTATATGACGTACTTCTGGTTTACTTCCTGTTTTGGCAAAGCATGTTTATCGAAGTGTTTTGTGACATACCCTCTGGGTCTCCTTTCCTTCAGCACCACGACACTACATTAAAAACAGATTTTCAAATATAAACAGAATCGCTCGTGCAGTCTTGGAGTTGAAGTCAAAGTCAAATCAAGTCTTAAGTGAGGTTTTCCCCAGGCAAGTCAGAAGTAACATCCCAGTTGTGCCCCATGTGGTTGCTTTTCCATTACAATTTTTCAGGTCCGTTCGGTTACAATGGAATCTTTCCGCAGAACTACTTCCAAACTGATTTGAAAAAGCTTGCCGAGTAGGGCCATGACATCACTGTCATCTGAGTGTCTGGCAGATGTTTGAAATTGGTTAGGTGTGCTATTTACTGTAACTTTCTGTTTTTCATTATAGTGTCATTAAGAAAATAATTGAGCGTCAGCCCAAGCCCAATTACTTGGTAGCCGTGGACTATTCCAACAACACCATGGAGGACATTGTTAAGGTATGTATGTTACATATCGTCACTGTCTGGCAGAATGCTTGTAACTGTCAAAATGACAACTTTTGAGGAAAAAAAACCCCAACAACAACAACAAAATCATCTTGCATGAGTTCCGAGACGTTTTCATAATAGCTTGTTTTGCTATCATGGACCGTACCATTGCACACTCACATCAATACAACACAATCCAAACTGCATGTTCGATCGTTAATTTGATTTGGTAAAAAAAAAAAAAATCGCTAATTCATCATTCTGTCTTTGATTAAAACAATATAAGCAGGGAGCCAACAGCAGCCATTCTCTTCAGTCTGCAGTCGTGACGAAGTCCCCACAGTGCAAAATCCTTTTCAAATGTCATGAAAGCAAACGCCTGAACTGACAAAGCCCATGTTTTAAACTGATCCATCAATGCATCTAACCTTACTATTTTCACCTGTTATTGTACGAGGGTCAGTCAATAAGTAAGGTGAAATTTTTGATAGAAGGGCTTCTAAGACAGATAAAATCTTACTTTAAAAAAACCAAAACAACAACATAGTCTCCCAGCACTGTCACACACATCTGTGCACAATCTTCCATATTCCCTCAGCGTAAAAATCTTTGGACTAATGTCTCAGCCTCTCGTGAACGCTTCTAAGGGACCAAACAGGTAAAAGTCTGAAGCGGCAAGGTCTGGGCTGGAAGGGGGATCAGGGAGCGGTTGCCAGCCCAGCTCCTTGACGTTCTGCACTGTTTGGTCTGCTGTGTGAGGCCTTGCGTTGAGACTGGGAAGAACAACATCATCAACACGCACCACTAGCACTGGAGCCCCACAGCGATGCATCCTCTCTCCACTGCTCTTCTCCCTCGACACCAGGGGTGGCCAACCAGTTTTTTACTGTGTAACTGCAAAGAGCCGCATCATACCCTTACTCGAGCGCACGCGCACACACACGCACACACACACGCACACACACACGCACCACACTTTTTTGGCCAAAGATCGACTTTTGAAGCGACCAACTTCCCACGAACGACCCAGTCGCGCACTGCAAGCATCACGCACGCACGCACGCACACACGCACACACACACGCACACACACACACACACACACACGCACACACACACATGCGCTCGCACACACGCAATCACGCAGGTGCCCACCAGTGCACTCGCGCACATATGCACGCACACCACGATGAGCAACAGTCGGAACGGGCCGAAAATTAATGAAAGCTCAAGATACAAACAAACAAATCTTTTTTTTTTTCCCACCCATTTCCTCCTCCCACTCCTTGCGGTTGACTTGGGACCAGTTCGCTGGCTCCCGGTCGATTCTGATCGACGTATTGGGCACCCCTGCCTTAAAATCAGAGGTAATTCGCTGACTAGCTTAGCGCTTAGCGCCGTTGTTTGCGCATGAGCTACTTCATGTACTTCATGAGGCTGCTGAGGAAGTTTGGCCTGCCACAGGAGGTGCTATGACAGTTCTACATTGCAGTCATCGAGTCAATCCTGTGTTCTTCCATCACGGTTTGGTTTGGGGCCACTACAAAAAAGGACAAAATCCGACTTCAACGGACAGTTAGGACGGCAGAAAAAAATCACTGGCACCGCCCTAATCACTGTCGAGGACTTGCACACTGCAAGAACCAAGACAAGGGCACGGAAAATCCTACTGGACCCCCCGCACCCTGCCCATCACCTTTTCCAGCTACTCCCCTCAGGCAGGCGCTACCGATCCATGTGCACCAAATCCAGCAGACACTTAAACGGCTTCTTCCCTCAAGCCATTAACTCCCTAAACAGTAACCCAAATCTACCTGTATAGTGGCTCTTTGCAATTTTGCACAACCCTGTGGAACAGCATCCCGTTATAGTTATTGTAGCTCCAGCTCTGTACTCACTTGAACCACTGTCACTGATCTATATTCCACAGCACCAGACACTTTAAAGTGCTCAAGGACATCTGCATAATGACACACTTGTACCACAAATACTGCTACTGGTCACTTTAAAATGGTTCAATGATTTTCTGCACCAACTGTACAACTGTTATAGTATTTTATTCTACCACTGATCACTTCCGCTCTGCTTGATACTTTGCACGTTGTCTCACAGTTGTCACTGGGTAGTACCACCGCACAACGGTTCACTTACATTACGGAATGTCCTTCCATACTTATTGGTCATGTCCTTGTTTATGATGATGATACGAGTGCATCGTGTTCGACCAGAGGCAAATTCCTTGTGTGTTCTACTTACTTGGCCAATAAAGATGATTCTGATTCTGATGATGCAAGATGACTCCATCTGACTGATGACCCCTGCGTTTGTTCTTGATGTCTTTCTTGACCTGCCTCAGCAGTTCACAGTAATTGGCATCAAGTTTGAAAGTGACAATTAAGTCAAAAGTGCTGTCAGCAACTGGCTGAGACACCAGTCCAAAGATTTTTAGGCCAAAGGAATATGGAAGCTTGTGCACAGATTGGAAAAGTGCGTGACAGTACTGTGGGACTATGTTGAAAAATAATAAAAAAAGAAAAAAGGTTCTGTCTCGACCTTTTTTTAAGATATTCATTTTTAAAAGTCGACCATCATCAGAACGAATTCATTTAAGGAAGCCATGGGTCAGAATGTAACTGTTAACCAAAAGCACCAACCTCTAGGGGTCTGCTTCAGGGCTTGTAAGTGCCTTCAAACACCAAAACACACAATTAAAAGACATAACGATAAAACAGAAATCCAAGTATATTTTACTTAAATTGAATTCAATTTGAATGCGCATGCTCATTGAGAGCGGCACGTGAATCACGAATGCATCAGCCACTCGAAGGAGGAGCTGCACACTGACAGTCCTCCACCACAGTTGGACGACATCATTGAGACAGAACCACTTTATTCAGGTAAGTCTCCTCATTGAGCTACTTGGTGATAAACCATTGCATTTATCAAGCTTGCCAAAGTTCATTTGCGACGAGTCTGTTAAACTGACTTGAATTAGTTTTTTTATACTATTGTGATATTACTAAAGTTCTTGGTGTGACCCAAGGAGTTTTTATGAAGAGCGGGTGTGACCACACGCCAGGAATGGCTTTGCTAATCGCGTGGCCAACAATTATGTGGATGTGTCTGCCAGCACTAGCTCACATTATCTAATGTAATCATTTCTTTCCACCTGAACCATCGATCATAATTGTCTCTAAATATATCCTGATGTAGTGTAATTTAAATAAAAGAGAACCCGATCTTAAATTACCGTAAATTCCGGATTACAAGACGCTACTTTTTTCCACACTTCCAACACTGCGGCGTATAATATGAAGCGGCTTTTTAATTTTTTTTTTCCATCGCGGGAAAAACATGGACCAATAAAATGAATGAGTCTTTCTTTCACTGAGGTCCAATGAGATTGTATGACTAATCACATCTTCCGCTCTTTATGCCGTAGGGGGGTGGTTACTCGGCAACAGTCGACCAATAAAATGAATGAGTAGAACACAGGGGTCCAATGAAATTGTATGATTACCGGTAATCACAACTTCCTTATTTCAGTCTTTCTTCTAACCCTGATCAACATGGAGAATACCAGACGAAAAGCATATGATGCAGCTTTTAAACTAAAAGCGATCACTCTGGCAGTTAAAGAAGGAAATCGAGCTGCTGCCCGTAAGGCGTAGAAAAAAAAGTAGTGTGTTTCCGGTAACCCGACCGACCGAGAATTTCTACGTCGAAAAAAAATTTACGGTCGGCATTTTTTTCAAACAACCCTCTACATTTTTGTGTAGAGGGTTTACATCGGGGCAAACTCTCGCTATATTCACGTTGAGCACGTGCATCGTTTGCCCTGTCGTCTGTCAACAATATTGAAACATGGCGGCGGCCGCGATCTCCGAGACAGTTTAAACTGCCTTTTCTGTGTTACAGTCGCGTGCTCGTACTGTAATGTTAAGAAAATAGCATCCATTGATGTATCGAAAAAATACAGCGAACTATTTGATGAACACCATGGGCCGAGTAAAAACTTAGGGCGGAGGAGGACGGCGTAGGCGGCGGCGCGCCCCGGCCCCCAGAGTCCGGAGCGGGGAGAAAACTAAACCGGCGGCGGCGGCGCCGGCCGCGCAGCGGCGGGTTCAATGTCTTCTTGTTTTATGGTTATTTTGTTTAAATTTTTGATGGAAAAAAAAACGATTAAACAGCAAAAACTTTGTCCGACCTACCGACCCTATGCTGAAATTTATTGTTACCGGAAACTCACTATCTTTTTTTGTTTGGCCTAATCTTGGCATAGACGGTTCGATGGTGCGAAGGTGGAGGCTCCACACATTCCGCACATTCACACAAAGATAGCGGAGAATTCCATAAGCCCAGATGAAATAATAAATATGGACGAAGACCCTCTGACATTTGATTTGCCTCTCACTCGGACTGTAAATAAAAAAGGTGAGTTCCCCCGTCATACTGAAAACAAGCGGCCACGAGAGAACACATTTTACCTGTGTTTTGAGCCGCGCAGCATCGGGCCTAAAGCTGCCAACGATGATCATTTTTAAGCGGCTGACTATAGAAATAATTTCATATATCCTTTCCCATTTATATGATTTGCATTATTCTATTTAAAATCTAGTGGGCTTCAGTATTTCTGCTCGTAATTACACAAATGCGCATCGAGATCTCTCTTTGTCTGGCCTCTTATGTGTTTCAGCGTGATTTCGTTGTGCAAATGCATTTATCATGCTCAGAAAAATATGGAGATTATTTTAACCTTAAGAAATGTTGCGTTTTTTTTCTGCGGGGGTTCAGCGTCGAGATCTCTCTTTGTCTGGCCTCTTATTATGTGTTTCAGCGTAATTTCGTTGTGCAAATGCATTTATCATGCTCATGAAAATATGGAGATTATTTTAACCTTAAGAAATGTTGCGTTTTTTTTTTCTGCGGGGGTTGAGCGGGGGACTGCGTCAGCTGCCTAACCCGGAGGCTCCCGGCGGCAGGGACGCAGAAGCAAACCCCCGCCTACTC